CTTTCGAAAATCTAACCCTAAGAAACACATACAATACTACAACATATGTTGGTGAAACCTAAACTAAAGAATATCATGACTCACTACTTTCACTCATCTATGCTGAAAACAACTGACTTTTGTTATATATTAATTTATATCTCTTAAGACATATGTTAATTACATAATTCCAATTTTTCATTTATCAAAATATTTATTATACAATTTTTAAATTATTTTTAAGAAAAAGTGTCCCAGACGACTTGCGAGGGCTAGAAACGTAAAAAAAAAATATTTTTTGTTTGTTCACAAGGGATTGGTTGTAATTTCAACAGCCTTTTAAGTTACTTTTGCATTTTATTCAAGTTTGGGTTTACTTTTGCATTTCAAATCAAGTTTTGAGTCATATTTGGCAATTTTCCCTGTTTTTATTGCTCTCTTTGTTTTGATCTTTTACTATTGACTTCTCTTCTTCTTCTTGTACTACTCTTCTGTTCATTATCATCGTCTTCTCATTACAAACCCAAACCCCAAAAACAGATAAGTGAATCTCAAAGTACGATCTGTTTTTTGTTTTTGTTTTTAACAGAGCTACATTACGAACCTTAGTCTCTATAAAGAAGCTATCAAACCTCCTTTTCTTCAAATTTCCAGACTCAAACGTCGCAGAGCTTGAGAGTCTCTCAACTGTCTCCGTCCTTGCAAGAAAGTTGTCAATCTCGCTGCCGTTAATCGACAAAGAATTGGAGAAGAAGCCAGGCATAGTGCAATCGAAGCCGGGATGGTTATGGTATTTGAGGTGAGCCCTTTCGCGCTCAAAACTCCGACATGTCCGTACAGTGGAGTAAAATCTCAGTTTCTGTAGTTCCATTCATCATCATCATCATCTTCTTCTTACCGGTTGCAGTGTTAAAGAAACAGAGTAAAGGTGAGGGTAGAGGAGGCAGTGATATTTATAACAAAAGAGAAAAAGTAGCATCTGCTCTGTACTTAGTCCAACTTCATCGCATCAGATAAGTGGGGCCAGGTAAATATCTGGAAGTTTTAGAAAATTGTAGTAGTAGATATTCAGCTTAGAGATTTGATGGTTGGAGATAGGGCTGGAATGATATCGTTACCCGAATCCCATCCAAAAAATAATTTCAAACTCAAACATTATCCAGTATATAAAAATATTCAAACTGATATCAAGTATGAGAAGTTGGATATTTGAACCCCAAAAGGGTAGTATCCTATATCCGCTGTTGTATAAAATGTTGTCCTAAAACATATCAATACTATTAATTTAGAGTCCTATTTTTTATCTACTTAAAAATGTTGTCACTTAAATTTGGACTTATTCACATCTCACTAAAACTAATTATAACATCCCCTATAATTCTGTTATACAATATATATTATGAATTATCTTATCTATTTATTTAGAAACTTAGTTTAGATCTCATTGTTATATTTCAACTAAAAAAACTATGTTTCCAAACAATTCTCATTTATCATGTTATTCTTATTTCCAAACAATATGAAAATGTACTTCAGTTTTAATAATATAAATGTGATATGCTATTATATATTTCATAGGTTGTATAGATCTTTGTTTATAATGTGAAATGTCATTTATTTACTAATATATTCTATACCAATTTTATTTTTAAAAATATATTTCCATTAATCGAAATCGTTTTCAAAATAGGATATCACGAGTAGATTTAGTAACAAGAAATTCTAAGTTGACAAAAAAGTAACAAGACATTCTCTATAGTAAATCTAAACAATAAAATCAATCAAAATTTTGAAAATATTTTTTGGATAAAAAATTCCAACTTATAAAAACATTCTCCATGTAAATTTATGAAACTCAGTTCCAAATTTGAATATTTTGTTTAGTTACGATAATGTATTCTTTTAACCAAATATTTTGAAAATATTTTTGGATAAAAAATTGCAACTTATAAAAACATTCTCCAATATATTATTGCACATTGTTAACTCATATTATTGGCCAATTTTAAGCTCGCTCTTTTAAACTATGAACTCAATCTTGATTACTATTCTAATTAGAATAGTTGAGCCATATCTGAAACTCACACTCTTTACATTATTACGACAAAATGAGTAAACTGTAAAGTTGAACCATGTATGTTATGAGTTTAAATGATTAAATAGACAATAAGAGTATTTTGGAAAAAATGTTATACAACTTCTTTGTTGAGAAACCAAATATTAAAAATAGATGATGTTAAAATTCGTAAACTTGACAAAAACCCAGACTCAGATAAGTAGACATGTTAATAGATCAAAAATAAAAAGCATTTTAACATCTAATTTAAAAACTTTGTAAAACAACCATTCAAAATATTAATTTTATTCAAATAATCTTTTAAAATATCCGCGCTAAGCGCGGGTTAAGAATTTAGTTTTTTCTTAAACCTAAACATTTTGTGTCTTTTGTTGAGTTTTGGTTGTTTGAATTTTGTTTATTTCCAATATTTACGGTTGTTCGGGTATAAATAGAACAAAACTTAGGTTCATTCCCTAGGGTGAACTTTTGAATTCACCTCTTTTTCTAAAACCAATCAAAATGCTAGAAAGATAATTAATTAAAAAATATTAAATTTATTTTAAAATAACTAAAAAATAAGAATAACGCCAATTTTAACGATGTTGACGCTGCTAGCTAAACCGTAAACCCTAAAATTTAAACCTTAAACCCTAAACCTTAAATCCTAAACCCTAAACTCAAACTCTAAAACCTAGGGTATAAAAATTGGATTCAGGGTTTAGGATTTGAGTTGAAGTTTAGGATTTGGGTTTAAGGTTTAGAATTTAAGATTTAGGGTTTACAGTTTGGTTAGTGGTGTCAGCATCGTCAATTGACATTATTCTTACTTTTTAGCTATGTTACATGGAAACTTAAGCAGATGCGTGGAAGCGGAACCGTATAGAAGCGCAAAAACGGGTTTTTAAAAAAATTTAGGAAGCGGAAGCAAGTTGGAAGCGTACATCGAATTATTAATATATATATATATATATAAGCACTTAATAAAAGTTATAGCTAAAATTATATGATTCTAATTAAAAATAAAGCATTTATTCATTTTCAATAATTAAAAATTATTTCATATTGTAATTGTGAAAATACAAACAAATAATTTTATAAAAATATTGTCAAATTAATTATTTTTAATATTTTATAAATAAGTGACATAATCTATTTGAATAGTGTGTGATATTTAATAAAAACATAGTGTGTGATATTTAATAGTATCAGTTTTCGTATTTGCATATTTTTATTTTTTTCATTTCAATATTATAAAATTTTAGATTTTATATAAAGTATGATTTTTTAATTTTTATTAGTTTACAACATCGTGCTTTTCAAAACGGAAGCTGATTTCAAATTGGAATCATAAGCTTCTAACGTGTTTTAATTAGATTATTTTAGAAGCGTTTAGGAAGCGAGACTCCGTAAGTTTTCACAAGGTTCCGATTCCAATTCCGGTTCCAAAGCGGGAAGCGGTCGTCCGAAAAAAATTCCGTGCAACCTAGCTTTTTAATTATTTTTAAATAAATTTAATATTTTTAATTAATTATCTATGTGATATGTTGATTGGTTCTACAATGAGATGTGAATTTAAAGGTTATCTTAGGAGGTGAACCTAATTTTTGTTCGTATAAATATAAGTTTAGATGAAAAAAATGAAGATTATGAACATCATATTTATTTTTAATATTTAATAAAAAATTAGATATCTCAATTATGTCCAAACATATTCAAGCCCGAAACATACCAAACCAGACTTACCAAACCGAACCTAACCTGATATACAAAAATAATAAAATAAATATCTGAATAGGTAATAGACCCCTAAACCAAAAACGCGGGTGTCCGACGGCCATTCCTAGTTGGAGAAATGAGAAATTACTAAAAGTGATGCAACAAAAACTCAAGAGTGGGAAAAATACTCTTTACGAGCTGGAAGGTCTCAAAGTTTCTTTAATCCATAGATGGACGTGGCCATCACGTGGGAGTGGTTGTGCCGTTGTATAACACAATGAAAGGAATATGCTATTTAATTCCTTGAGCTTTATTTTGATGGTGACAAAAGATTGCGAGTTGTTACATTAGACTGTTTAGGTAGCACTGTTCACATGAATGTATTGGGACAAGAGGTTCTCTGAATCTTTGTTATTCAGATCTCTCATGCATCTGATAGCCATCCTCCATTGGCTTACTGTATTGTGATTGTCTAATACTGAGACGGTGAAAGAGAGACTTGCCACGTGATCGCCATGCTCTCTCTCTATGCATGTAGCTTGCAATTGCAAGGCCCATCACATGAATTGCTCACAAGTTAACTTTAGCTGGTCACTTTCACCGATAATCTGTCAACAAACAGTTCGAAGAAAAAGACATTTCAGAAACAAAGCATGGCAATTGTTTTAATTTCTGTCAAATATTTCTAATTTTCCTACTTTCTATTCAATTTATGGGAATAATTAACCTTTTATATGATTGATATAAGCCATGAAATCTTCTCGGGTCTAAAATAAAAAATCTCTTTCTGTTAATAATTAAGCTTGGTAAGCACAGATAAAGAGTTTTTTTTTTTTGTCATCAGTTAGATTGATAACATGATCTATAGCCAACCTTATAACGTGTGGAAGCGCGGCTTACTAAGTTTAGACACTGGTGGAAATACCATATATAAGTGGATATTTAACCCTTTGACTATATGCACTTCGTCATATAGAGCTAGTAGGCAAGGAAAGGGGAGAGCGTATGAGATTGTTTGAAATGAAGAATTAATGGTCGTTGCTTTCTGATGTGATGAATGTAGACCAAGTCCATAGAAGATGCAGTATGTGTCCCTATCATTCTCTATACATGCACACACTTTCAAAGTAGTGCTAAACACCTAAGACCAACATTATCAATGGGACTTTTCCCAAGGTTCTTAGGATTGTTTATTGTTATTTTTAACTTAAGAGACATTGTTAAGAGACTTCACTAAAAATGAAGATTATTGGTGGGACATTTGCTTGGTTCTTAGATTTAATATTTTTTTTTTAATAATTAGCATATAAAATGGTGTTGAGAAGAAAACATATAACAATTTAAATTTAATAATAATAAGAGAAACAAATTTATTCATTTAATAGAAAATTACAAAACATTATATTACATTCCATATTTCTAAAAAAACATACAAACTTCATAAATAAAAGCATACAAACTTCATAAATAAAAGCAAACACACATTTTATTGAAATCATAGAAACTTAGAAATCATATGTTATTTGGAAGATGTCCAAATTTATCCCATATATTTTCAATCAAATCGTTTTTTAATTGTTCATGGGCTTGTCTATTCCGAACGCTGGTTCGACGATCAATTGTATTTCCGAGATTTGAAGGCATATTGACGGAAAACGTACCCACATCTTCGCTTTCTTGAAATTCAAAAACGTCATACTGAGTGTACGAAGATCGTTCATCTTCGACAATCATATTATGGAGTATGATGCATGCTCTCATGATAACAAGAGGCTGACCACCACAGTAACAAGCCTGAGGGAAACCAAACTCGACCTCCGGTTGCGGAGGGTACCGAGCCGTGTCACCGTTGTTGAAGCTCAACTCAGCTTGGTCCCGACGAATAAGCTGTTCAGTCTCGCTGTACCCACTGTCATCACCACCATACACCTCTGAGTCTGAAGGCTGGCTGTAGCTATATCGACCCATTTAGAATTAACCTGCCAAAAATGTTACACCAATGTGAGCAAGTTGTCTAATTAAATGTGATAATGTCAAAAATAAAGCAGAAAAATAAAGCACAAAAAGAGACAAATTGAAACGACATTTTTTCATAA